TGGTGACATAATGTCTGGAAATGCATTTTGGAGCCCTTGATAAATGTCAGTTATTGTTAATAATCTCTTACGTTTTATTAAGCATATTATAATGCGATGTCATCCACATAGACCAATGAAGCAGGCAAAGGAAGTGGAGTAATTATTTCAGCTTTACTCAGAACCTGATGTGCAAATGATTTGCTCAAGGTCAGCCAAGTCCAAGGTGAACAGCATAATATAAATATGTACCCAGTACCCGCCTCTTCTCCCCCCCCCCCCGGGGGGGGGGGGGGCTCTGCGTACAGGTTGAACTACTCAGCACAGGCAAGTCAAAATATTTGAAGTCCTGGCCCAAGAACCCATTCAAACCAAGAAGTGATGACTGCCCTGTACCAACCTGGATCCAAGAATGGCCCAAGAATGGCCCAAGAATGGCCAGGACCTGGGAGGCGCTTCCTGCTCTGTGACAACGCCTTCTGGCGGCCTGAGCAGTAAAGTGGAAATCCCCTGGTTATTGTAGCCTGGAGGGAACCTCCCATTGAGGCCCAGGCTCGCAAATGGAGTGCAGGGTTGGAGGTGGTACACCTGTGGTCTTCACAGCCACCGGCCACCTCGACGACGTCCCGCCTACTCCAAGCCTCCCTTCCACTCTAGCTCCCTTGTTGTGGACTTGGATATTTGTAAGAACTGAATCTATGAATAGCACCCTTGTCTGGCTCTTCCACCCCTTCTTTTCCCTCCATGCCCGTTTCCCTGGACAGCTCATTCCACAGGTTTTTTTTTTTTTTTTTTTTTTTTTTTTTTTGTTTTTTGGTGGGGGCTGGAAGAGGAGTAAAATACACACCAGCTTTTGCTGAGGGCAGTGCTGGGCTCCCCCATGCCCTGGCACGCTGGCAAGAAGAGAATGCCGGGAGGCAGGAACTAGACACGACTACCCCCAACTCCTGCGCCTTTCTTCTCCTCCCTGGTCTCCGCCCCTCCAGGAAGAAAACAGCCAGAGACCGGATCGTTCTTTCCGCCACTGTGCCAACACCAACCACTATGCCCGCCCTTCCCTTGCCTTCTCCCCAGTTTCGCTCAGAGCACCCGCCTTGACCATGCGCCCGCGGCTGGGCAGGTCTTGGCGGGCGGTGTAGGTTCAGCTCCCCAGGGCTTCTCGGCGAATCACGTTGTTCCTGGGATTTCATGCTCTAGTGGCTCTTGTGTAACCCTATGCCCTGGCCTAACTCAATATTTTTTTTAATACCAGGATTAGCCCTTTAGGGAAAGGCAAATACTTCCGCCACAGATCCGACTGGGGAATAAATGTGTAAATCACCCAACAGCCTCCAGCCCCCACAGCCCCTTTGCTCGGGTCTGCAAGGCTCAGTAACCCGCCGCACTCCTGGGGTTCCTGGTGCTAGGCGATCCCAGGCCTCCACAAGGCGAAAGGAGGGCCCAACCCACACGTTTGTTTTCATCTACTCTTAAGCGGCTCCCACAGGCCAAAGAACAGGGCCCTGCTTACTGTGTGTTACCAAAAAAGGCTTTTCTCTCTGCAGAGCGCTTGGCGGCGCGCGTTGCAGCGGGGTGACGCGAGGTTCAGCCATGGCCTGGAGAGCCAGCAGGCTAAGAGCACCCCTGCCCTCCCCCGCCCTCGTTTCATTTAGATTCCAAACTGTGGGGGCTGTTGAGAGCGGGCAGGAGTCGCCGAGATGCATAAAAGTGCCTAAGATCCTGGCAACCTTCACACCCCTAACACTGGGCAATGTTGCTCACGGAAGGCCAAGTGAAAAGCCGACCTTTTGCTCCAGTTTAGAACAGTGTTCTCTGAAGATGCTATCTTGGCTAGCTGAGGAGAAAGACAGCTATTAATATGGGACTTTGCTTTGTGGAGTTAGGGTTAGCATTTCGTACCTTGTTCTTTGCAGCTAGTGCACCCCTGAACATAGCACCAGAGTTCTGTATCTCTTCTCCATTTCTCACCTCCCTGGATCAGTTCTTCCCAAGAGATCACAGTATTGCTGCAGGAGCAGAGGAACGGAGGATCTCCAAACATTGGAGCTCTCACCTCCCTAATCACTGATGCATCCCCAAACAGGGCCATCTGAGACAAGCAGTTAAGAAGCAGTGTATCACCTTATTATCTTTTTCAGGAGGTATAGAGAGTTTTTTTTTCAGGTTTTTTTTTATTGATTTTTATTGAGCTCTAGAGTTGTGATTTTTAAATAAAAGGATTGTGAGACTGTGGACTGTAATGGAATTCTGTTTAAATTCATACTGATGTCCAGCTCACTGTGTACAGAGATATCTCATTTGCACGTGTGTGTGTGTGTGTGTGTGTGTGTGTGTGTGTGTGTGTGTATCTATGTCTTTAAAGTGAAGACAAACAAGGAGATGGTATACTGAATGTAACATTGTGATATGGAACTCAACTTGTTTTTTCTACCTGCCTGGCTGGAGGGTTGTGGCTAAGCTGCTATTTCTAACTTTTTTTTTTTTTCCGAGACAGAGTTGCTCTGTGTAACAGCCCTGACTGTCCTGGAACTCGCTCTGCACTCGATCCCGAACTCACAGAGATCTGCCTGCCTCTGCCTCCCTAGTGCTGGGATTAAAAGCGTGTGCTACCACCACCCAGCGTACTTTTGATTTAATAAGGAGAAAAATAAATAGTGTAAACAAATGGATTATACAGTCAAGCCAAAGTTCATTGTCCCAGGCTGGTCGGGATTACTGAGCCCTGTGTTTTGACTCATTCAAGGGGAGCTGTGACCAGTCCAAGGGTGAGGAAGCACTCCCTGAGAGACGCTGTGCATAAGACTCTGCTCCAAGCCAGCCAGTCAGGCAAAGTTTATTATTGGCCTGCAGCACACAGTGAGCTCGCTGTGTTTTGGTTTTTTTTTCCAAAACCAGAAACTGGGTTGCTCTGAGATGAAAGAGAGGCTCCCTATGGGCGCTTCTTCCTCCCTTTCTCCTTCTCCTTACAAGCTCTACTTTACTTTTGTATTTGAAACCCAGAACCAAGCATGCTGGGAAATGCTGACTAGCTCCGGGAGATCAAATGTCAAAATAAAAGTATTTCTTGTTGCTTCAACTGACTGTAACCGTGATCATAAATAATGATCAGAATGCCTTATGCACTAGAATACTTTCACAGGGAAGCTGGTGACAGTTTCAGTGTCATTACTGATACTAGTATCCAACACTGGCAGTTTTCTGGGAATGCACGAATGTGCTCTCCACACTGTATGGTGCATTTATGCTTCATCCTGCAGCTGGGATAGCTTCACAGCTTCTCTATGTGGAAGAATTCACTAGTACAGTCTGGAGGGGGATGCTAGGGGCTTGTGATGAAGGTGCATTTGCACAGCACTTTATATACAAGTAGTATGTAACAAACAGTGGGGCGCTAATGGAAAATGTGAGCACCCTATACCATCCCTGGGAACCTCAGCTTGTGTGCACCATCTTCAAATAAAATTTACTGCATTTAGATACCAGGCCAGCTGCAGGAGCTGCTGTAGACAAGTTATTTCAATCTCTTTATTTTCCTGGTCTGTAAAATGGAACAGAATATACTTTGTGGGAAACACTAAGGATTTAGTAACCTAAATACCACATCCTGCTCTGTCTCTACATTATAATGAAAATAATACTAAAGTTGATGAAAAGGAACCACTTGCCCAGTACCTATCCCAGTGCCACTGAGAGTCATGAACACAAGAAACAAACTGAAATCTTCAACACCCCTTCAAGCTGGGGGAGATAATTCTATTTTGCAGAAGAAAAAAAAAACCAGATTATATAAATAGAGCTCAAGGTTACAAAGCCAGTAGTAATAGTGAGGAAATTCCAACCAACCCTGTGGGCAGAATCCAGCCCTATCAAAATCACCTCCCCTCCACCAGCCTTCCATAGGGATTATCTTAATTTACATAAGAAAAAAGCAAACCTAATAAATAGAACAGGCTGAAATGCTCCAGCCAGAGCTAAGACCAACCCTATCTGTTTCTACAATGAGCCATAATGATGAGCAGTGATCTTACAAGGTAGAGGAAGTCATGACCTCCCAGGGCGTACTGGGGCAGTGTGGAATTAAATCACAGCACGCAGAAGGAACTTTCAAAACTGTCTATGCTTTATTTATTTATGTGTCTAAGGATTGAGTTCGGAGCCTCGGTCGCTGAGCTACTGCCCCCCCTCTAGCGATCAGTATTATTAAAAGCTGTCCCCTTTCATGAAACCCAGAAAAACCACTCACCTGTTTGGCAAATTCTTCACTCCCCATTCTCTGCCCTCAACTATGGCTGTATGCAGTCCGTTGACTCTTTTCCTTAAAGGCTCAGAGTAGTACATAGTCAAAAATTTTATGGAGTTCCCCCCCAGGCGGGGGGGGGGGGGCGCGGCTCATTTAGCGCCATTCTTGCAACTCCGATTGATTTCCAAGCCCAGTCGCAAAAACAAATCTAAAAGGTAATTTCTGGAAGATTGGAGAAGGGCTAATTCTGCAGGTGTTTGGTGGCAAGGAATGGAACATTAATGGGGGAAGGGAGCTCTCACCGCAGATGAAATAGGTAATACCTTACATGAAATTTAAAGTGAAACTCGTCAAACAGGGCATTTAATTTTACTGCCTGGGGTTTGGTGGGGTGGAGAATGGGAATCGGAAACAACACTCGTGGCCCTTAAACGTTTTTTTACTTGGGAAAGCCTGGCAGGAAAAGAAAAGGTCATCGTCTGTTACACACACATACAACAGCCCAGGACTTGCAGCATTAGCACGCCGGGCTCAGCTGTGGTGTACACACACACACATACACACACACACACATATACACACACACACACACACACACAACCAATGGGGGGGGAAGGGAGAGGGGAGGGCGGAGGCGCGGAGGAGGGGCCGACAGGGAGGAATCTGGGCATCCTGCCGCGCATGCGCCTTTCGCGAGCAACAAGTGGGCTCCACAGACAGAGGAAGTGTAAAGGGGGGGTGGGGGACTGGTGCAGAGCATGGCGATGACGTCAGCGCTCCGCCCGGGCGGCATCCCGCGCGGCCAAGCCGGGGACAGCGCGAGCCGCAGCCCGAGCAGGAGCGCTGAGACGCGCCTCCGGAACGTAGAGTAACAATCACAACCCCACATTCCAGGCGAGCGCGAGCGGGAAGGGATGCGACCCGGGTGGAGGCGCCGAGCGAGCGCCCTGCAGCCAACGTGAGCGCCGCCAGCCTGTGGCCGGAGAGCCGGCCAGGCCAGGGGGGGCGGTGGGAGCCTGCGTGCGTGCGCTCTTCTCCTCTGCTCTCGTGTGTCTTGGAAACGGTGGCCGGTGGCCGCGGCTGCTCCCTCCGGCGTGCAAACCCAGGCGCCGCCAGCGCAACGGCCGACGCTGCGGAGGGGAAACTCTCCTCTTGGCAGCCACCTCCTCACCCGGCCTTCCCGGGGAATCAGCGGCTTCAGCAAGATTGGACCTGGGCACCGGGTGGCACAACCCTCTAACCTTACTCTCCCCGGGGCGCCTGGCGTAGAGAGGACTCAGATCGTAGGGGGACCCCCCCGCTTCACGCTTCCACGCTTCAATCACTCCGGGGAGGGGGCCAAGAGGCCACTGGCGGCCGGCCCCGGACACCCTAGCCCCCTCCCCCCAGGCCCGGAGCTTCCAGCCCTGATCCGTCGCACCAGGAAGAAGGCTCCAGGTGCTCTTCTCCGGACCAGACAGCCACAGTAGGAGGTGGGAGCGAGAAGCGTGCAGAACCCGTCGGCCACCCGGACGGTGGATCCCCCGCAGAGAGGCGCTGAACCAGCAGTGGAGACTCGCTCTCCATCCAGCCCCTGGGGCAGAACTTTCTCGCCCTCCCCGCCCCCTCCCCCGCAGCCGGACTCCTTCCCCAGCCAGTCAGTCCTCCCGGTGGAGAAGGCGCCACAGAGACAGCCCGGGAGGGGGCCTACCTTCCCCGAGGCTGGCATCATGTCGGCGGCGCAGGTGTCCTCGTCCCGAAGACAGTCTTGCTACCTGTGCGACCTGCCTCGCATGCCCTGGGCCATGATCTGGGACTTCTCCGAACCTGTCTGCCGTGGTTGCGTCAATTACGAAGGCGCCGATCGCATAGAATTTGTGATCGAGACAGCCCGCCAGCTGAAGCGGGCTCACGGCTGCTTCCAAGACGGCCGCTCCCCCGGGCCGCCGCCGCCCGTTGGGGTCAAGACAGTGGCCTTGTCCGCCAAGGAAGCGGCGGCAGCAGCTGCCGCCGCGCAACAACAACAACAGCAGCAGCAGCAACAGCAGCAGCAGCAGCAGCTCAACCACGTCGATGGTTCTACCAAGCCTGCGGTGTTGGCCGCCCCGTCTGGCCTGGAACGCTATGGCCTGAGCGCAGCGGCTGCTGCCGCTGCCGCCGCCGCGGTGGAACAACGTAGCCGTTTCGAGTATCCGCCGCCCCCGGTGAGTCTGGGGAGCAGCAGCCACGCCGCCCGGCTGCCCAACGGCCTGGGAGGTCCTAACGGCTTCCCTAAGCCCACACCAGAGGAGGGCCCCCCGGAGCTGAACCGCCAGAGCCCCAACTCATCCTCAGCGGCAACATCGGTGGCTTCTCGGCGTGGGACACATAGTGGGCTGGTGACCGGGCTGCCCAACCCCGGGGGTGGCGGGGGACCCCAGCTCACCGTGCCCCCAAACCTATTGCCGCAGACGCTGCTTAACGGCCCGGCCAGCGCCGCGGTTCTGCCACCGCCCCACGGCTTGGGGAGCAGCCGCGGGCCCCCGACTCCAGCGCCTCCTGGTGCTCCCGGGGGGCCCGCCTGTCTCGGGGCTGCCCCAGGCGTGTCGGCCACTGTATCTTCCGCGCCGTCTTCGACCTCTTCGACTGTGGCAGAGGTGGGCGTGGGTGCTGGTGGCAAGAGGCCTGGTTCCGTGTCGAGTACGGACCAGGAACGTGAGCTGAAGGAGAAGCAGCGCAACGCTGAGGCCTTGGCCGAGCTGAGCGAGAGCCTGCGCAACCGTGCGGAGGAGTGGGCCAACAAGCCCAAGATGGTCCGTGACACACTGCTCACGCTGGCTGGCTGCACGCCCTACGAGGTGCGCTTCAAGAAGGACCACTCTTTACTGGGTCGTGTCTTTGCCTTCGACGCTGTCTCCAAGCCCGGCATGGACTACGAGCTGAAGCTGTTCATTGAGTATCCCACGGGCTCCGGCAACGTGTACTCCAGCGCGTCCGGGGTGGCCAAACAGATGTACCAGGATTGCATGAAAGACTTTGGCCGTGGTCTGTCCTCTGGCTTCAAATACCTGGAGTACGAGAAGAAGCATGGTTCAGGTGACTGGCGCCTACTTGGGGACCTGCTGCCCGAGGCTGTACGCTTCTTCAAGGAGGGCGTGCCCGGCGCAGACATGCTGCCCCAGCCCTATCTAGATGCCAGCTGTCCCATGTTACCCACTGCGTTGGTGAGTCTCAGCCGCGCCCCCAGTGCACCTCCAGGAACTGGAGCCTTGCCACCAGCGGCGCCCACGGGTCGGGGTGCAGCCTCCAGCCTGCGCAAAAGGAAGGCATCCCCGGAGCCTCCGGACTCAGCTGAAGGTGCACTGAAGCTCGGCGAGGAGCAGCAGAGGCAGCAGTGGATGGCAAACCAGAGCGAGGCGCTGAAGCTCACTATGTCCGCGGGGGGCTTTGCGGCGCCAGGGCACGCAGCAGGGGGACCGCCCCCACCCCCTCCACCTCTGGGACCTCATTCCAATCGGACCACCCCGCCAGAGTCAGCCCCCCAGAACGGTCCGTCCCCCATGGCCGCGCTCATGTCAGTGGCAGACACTCTGGGCACAGCGCATTCGCCGAAGGACGGCAGTTCAGTGCACTCTACCACTGCATCCGCTAGGCGAAACAGCAGCAGCCCGGTGTCACCCGCCTCCGTGCCAGGGCAGCGTCGCCTGGCATCACGCAATGGGGACCTGAATTTACAGGTGGCACCCCCGCCGCCTAGCGCCCACCCAGGCATGGACCAAGTGCACCCCCAAAACATTCCGGATTCCCCTATGGCCAACAGCGGACCCCTCTGCTGTACCATTTGCCACGAACGTTTGGAGGACACTCATTTCGTTCAGTGCCCGTCTGTCCCTAGCCACAAATTTTGTTTCCCTTGTTCTAGAGAGAGTATCAAAGCCCAGGGGGCTACAGGTGAGGTGTATTGCCCCAGCGGAGAGAAATGCCCCCTAGTCGGGTCTAATGTACCTTGGGCCTTCATGCAGGGCGAAATCGCAACTATCTTAGCTGGGGATGTTAAAGTGAAAAAAGAGAGAGACCCTTGAACCGCAGGGCAGCGACCTCTTTTACCCTAGACCACCTCCTCTTCAATCTGGAGGGCCCTCCCCCCCACCTGCCTCCATTTCCCTTCCCACCAAGATGTAGAATTGTGAATATAACTGCAAAAAGTTAGTCTTATGTATAGACATTATTTTCGTCGTATGTTTCTATATTTTGAAACAGGTATGTAACTTCTTCATTTGAAGGATAAGCTGGTTGTGTTAAGCAGTATAATATTGATTGGGTCATTTGCATCATATTCGTTAGCATTTATTTGGTGGCAGAATGTTTGCCTAGGTACAGCATTAATAGCCCTTAGCAACAACTGCTGCTGGTGTGTATTTTTGTAAATGTTATGCACTCTGAAAGGAAAAACACACAAAAGAAAAAGATTTTTTTGTTGTTTTTGTTTTGCCAAGGCCAGTGTTGCTGCCTAAAAAAAAAAAAAAGAAAAGAAAAAAGAAAAAAAATCAATGCTATAAAATGGTGAAAGCTTCTCTCTAAACAGCCCCAAGTGTTGAAGTCTTCACTTCATTTTGTTCTGTTCTGTTTGTTTTCCTGTTTTGTTTGCAAAATAGTAAGGGGGGTGTTGGGAGGGGATGGGTGTTTTTTTGTTGCAAGTTTGTGAGGGGGAAAATGTTTCGGTTTGTTTCTCCTGACCTGAATGTGTTGGATCTTCACGTGTCGTTTTGTTTTGGCTTTATTGATGCACGGATGCTTTTGAACCGTAGAGCGAAAAACTAGACATGGAGAACTTGCTCTGTTTGTCCTTTATACATTTCTGTAGTTAACAGAACACTGTAATGTGCCTTGGAGCTTAGTAACTTGTAATAAATTCAATTGATAATTAATTCTGCCCTGAGTCAGCAAATTTGTCTTTCTAGGGCTGAGAGGCCACACCACTCCCACCTAAGAGGACAACTGGTACTTCCCACCTGGAACCAGGAATCCTGGTTCCTTTGAAGGCTCTTGGAGCTGGCAGCCCCACCCCCTGGGTACCAGACTGTTTACATTTTACCTCCCCTGTAATCTGCAGTTGCTGACTAAGCAATTTCTGTTTACTCTTTCAGCATCTTTACCCCCGCCCCACCCCCACATGGGACCCAGCTGCAAAAAGCATTGTCAGGAGTGCTTTCTGGTCCTTCCCTGGGGCGATGAGGATACACTGATACTCAGCGCAGCTGTTACTTAACCAGTGGGAACAGGAAAATTTAGAATGAACCTTGTTAAGGCGCTTGCCTCTACACACAGGGTAAAATCTACTGTCATTGCACACTTAAAACAAAAGGTGTCTAGCTGGGCTTTGCTTCCTGTGTGCAAGTGAAACCGCGATCAACCGGCTTCTTGCTGTTCCTACCCTGTGTGCATTCCTTGACTGTTCCCATTTCTAAATCGGCCATGATGGACTCTAGCCCTCTGGAACTATAAGCTAAAATAAACCCTTCCTTTCAAATTAAAAAGTGTCTCGCTGGGCGTGGGGGCAGGGAAGGCTGTGAGCATCTGGGAGGCAAAAGCTTGTTGATTGCAAAGCAGTTTCCACCTCATTCATTATGTCCTACCCTTTAATGAGCGCTTCTTAAGTCGGGACACCGCTGATCAGAGCAGACTTGGGGAGGTGGGGGTGGAAGGGAAAGGAAAGCAAAGGTTACTTAGGCACCAAATGCAATCCATTTCACTGGCAAAGATACTCCAGTATTAATTGGCTTTGTTGTGGGCATTTGTGAAGTTCTGGTGGGCGGAGAAGGAGAGAACTGCACCCTCTGGGGCTCAGAGCTCCCCCAGCAGACACCAGACTTTCATCCAGTTAGAGCGAGGCCAATAGTCCTGGTTTGAACCTTGTCCTTTCCTGACAGAGGACAAGAACAGAAGAAAGGAAGCAAAACACAACGGTGTGCTCCACACGGCTCCGAACTGAAATGAATTCCTAGTCACTCCCCATTCCTGTGCCTAGTGAACTGACCAGATCTGACTGCCTGCCCTGCCCGTGGAGCAGGAGGATAGGGAGGTGGGAATAGGCGCAAGCACACATGGGGAATTCAAATCACCAGGTAATCCTGAACACCAGTGTGGAGGTTTGGTTGGTGTTGGGACTTGCTATTAATAATACCCTTTGGGTTTCTGTTCCAGCTTTGCCACCATATTGGAGTGGACACTAGAACCCTATGTGCCGGTATGGGTGGGTGTGTTTGGGAATGGGGATCCATGGGGCTATTGATGGACCTGCAAGGATGCTAGATGCGAGGTGCCTGGCTCACCTCTAAGAATCTCCCTACATATAAATAGATGTTCATTCCTGTCAGCTTCCTGCAAATGTGTCCTTGCGTTTTCATCTGTTGCCAAGTGTTGTATTGGTGCTTATGAGTCATGAAACCTATTTTCATCCTCAGGGGTAATTAACTGGGGGTGGTGGTGGTGGTAATGTGTAGTAGACTGTAGGAAGAGTTAATTCTAAAACCCATCCAGCGGCCAATCACTTAAAGGTCTGGGCTGCTTTTCTTACAGACTCATTAATAAAACCTGAGCAGGTTTTGCCTGGAAGATTTCTCCAAGGCACTCCCAACCCCCACACCAAATGCGCTCCAGCTTTTGAGCTGGGTGAGCCTCAGGGGGAAAGACCCACTTGTGGACTCAGATGTGAGGTTTGCCCGTCCCGGGGTGGATGCAGTGAATAGTGTCGGTCCTGTTATCTACCTGTGCACACGCGGGCTCCTGCTTGCCCGCCACTGTCTCTTCTTTGCTTTGGGATTATGTTCAGGAACTTTTAGGATTACAGGGCCCTTGATTACTAGTGCATATGGGCAAGAGGGCCTGTCATTAAGAGCTGAGAACAGTGTCGTGTGCTCCCCCTCTTGTTGCCGGGTGCTATTATTAGGAGAGGCAGCAGCTGTAGTAATGAGGCATCCAGCAAAGGAGGCCGGGTTGGTTTCACTTAGGAAGCCTGACTTGACAAGACGGGGTGGAGAGAAGTAAACTAGAGGAAACGCTCAGAGGTTAGGGCAGAACTCTGGCTGGAAGTGAATCATAAAATAGCTGGTGCAGTTAATTTAAGTTTACCATAGCCAAGGGCCGCTTGTTAAATGGGGCTCTGTCTGTTGGGGGCGGGGGGGGGGGATGATAAGACTTCTCTTTGCTGGACTGGTTTAGCAGCTTAGTGTGGTTGCCTCCACCCGTCCTGGTTTGGTTCTCAGGTAGATCCTCCCTTCCCCAAAGTGGTCCACGCTGGACATGTCGGACGGTTTTCCTTCTCCAGCCCCGAGGATTATGGTGTATTTCAGAGACTCACAGCCAAGTGTTTAACCGACTCTAAACTCCTTTTATTCCCATGTTACTTGGGAGTATCCCTACTCCAGTTTCCCATCCTCACTTTGCTCCCAAAACTGTAGGTAGTGACCAACATTTTATAGTCTATATTGTGCTGTGCATCTAACGCAGTCATAATGATTCTTTCGGTGACATGGCTGTGGGGGGAGGGGGGAGGGACAGTGAGAATTTAACAGCTTGATGGGGACATGTTGGTCACTGGAGACAATGCCATGGGTGATCTGTCTGCAGCAGAGTTCACAATTTTTAATTCTTAATATTAATTCCAGAGATTCCAGGTGCATTCTCCCAAGCATCCAGGGTCTGACAATAAAAAGAGTACTGAGGTTCACTCTTTGAATATTTGAGAGCATCTCAGGTAGCCCAGGCTAACCTGGAACTCACTATGTAGCCAAGGCTGGCTTTGAACTTTGATCCTCCTCCTCTGGACACTGCCTCTAGGTGCTGGGGCTGTAGGGCTGTACTTCAGGCCCAGATTTCTGAAACTGACTTTTGTTTCCTCCTAAATCCTGTCAAGTACAGGAAGCTGGACATGAGAATGACCCTTAAAGCCTAGTGAAACAGTTTGTTCATTCGGCAACATTAGGGATTGAACCCTAGGCCTTCACCCATGGTAGGCCTGGGCTCTATCCCAGAGCCTTATAGCCTTAGCCCCCTTTTTAGTTTTTATTCCAGCTGGCTTGGAATTTGCTAAGTAGACCAGGCTGGCCTGGAACTCACAGGGATCAGCCTGTGTCTGCCTCCTGAGTGCTGGGATTAAAGGCATGAATCATCATGCCCACGTGACTGTATTTGTGAAGGGGCTTAGAAACATCTACAGCCCATCTATGAGACTTGAGTTCAGAACTCAGACCAGTGCACGATCCAGCTTACAAATGCAAGGACCTCAATGCTCAGAGAAGTAAAAAAAAAAAAAAAAAAAAATGCCTAGGATCGCACAGTGACAGCGTCTGAGCTGGATTCCTATTTGAAAACAGTGTTAGTAGACAGAAAACAAAAACAAAGGAAAAACTCTACCAAAAGGAATGAAGATGAAGTGGACAAAGGGAGAGAAAGTACGGGGGGGGGGGGCGTGGTCATCATTAATTCTCGAATGATGGCATTTGTCCCGTGGTGGTTTTCAATCATACCTTAGCAATGTTTCTAGGTTTCTGGCTATGAATGTCAGATAGGCTTGAATTGGGAAGCCTTTTCTTAACCTTTCATCTCTGGGCCCAACCATCACACCTCCTCCCCATTTGCTAATTGGAAACTTCTGGAGGATTGAAGGCAATGGATCGCAAAACCAACGGGGACCCGTCCATCTGGATGGGTAAGGAAGAATGAGATGGAGGGAGAAACGCAGGGGACTCTTTCTTGTTCTCTGGAGCTTAGGGGGTTCTCTGCTCTCTCTTAGTCACCCTCTTTGCCAGGCTGATTCTCTCACTGCAAAGACAGAACTGAAAGAGAGTGAAAAAACCAGGTGCCAAGTAGAAAGAAGCACACAGAGTTGCCAGCTTCAGGCCTGCCCAAGAGGATTTATCATTCCATTTTATACTAAGGTCGGCTGAACTCAGAAAGACTGAAAGTTCAAGCCCCAGATTGGCCTAAATCCTGTCCTTCCCCTCCCCATCCACAGAACAGGATTTCTCTGTAGCATTAGACCCTGACCTGGAACTAGCTCAGTAGACCAAACTGGCCTGGTCCAGTCTCTGCCTCCCACCACCACCGCCTGGCTGGATCCTGTTCTCTTGCCAAACCCAAGGTCGTTCTGCCTAGACCACCTCTTCCTTCTGACCTTGTTGCCCCAGGAAATCAAGACTTTGAGCATGAGCCCCACCCATCCCCACTGTCTTCTTCCGGGATTGAAGTTTGACCCTCACTGCGTTAGGAGAACTGGAAGAGACTTGGTGTCTCTGTAAAGTTCACTTGGGATGCTGAAGCAAGGCTGTTTTTCTGGAGTCTCCCCCTCCCAACTTAATGAGAGAATGAGCCCACTTCAGTGTCCACTATGAAGAAACAGGTGGGCGGGGAGCAGATGGTACCTCTCGATTCTAATGTCTATTGCTCCTCTGAGGAACATCCGCTCCACTGACTGTTGTGTTCTCTGGTATTTTCACTTGTTTTAGGGGAAACTGGTCCATTTATTCTTGTGGCTCGTTTGGCCATCCTGCCTCTGTAGTGGGCCCCAGAAATGCATCCACCAGCAGGACAGTCTGTACCCTGATCATAGGGCTGGACCTGATAAAGCTTGCCTTTCTTCAAGAGCTGTTCATTGTGGGTCTTTAGTTTAGACATTACTAGAGAAACATGTCCTGGATCCCAGCTGATCTCCTTGTAACTCTGGTCAGTCTTTACCCACTTCAGGTCTTGGTTTTGTGACAATGAATCCTTTTTTCATCTTGTTGTGGTTGTTGTTATTTGCTTGTTTATTTGCTTCAAGACAGGGTTTCTCTGTGTAACAGCCCTGTCTGTCCCATAACTCTTCGTAGACCCGGCTGGCATCGAACTCAGAGATCTGCCTGCCTCCACCTCCCAAGTGCTGGTATGA